CCCCAGGGATCCACCTGTCTTCCTAAAACTGAACTTACAAGAATCTGAGTCATAGAGCCCAGCATTTTTTTTAATGTAGGTTCTGGTGATCAAAATCAGTTCCTTGCACAGGGGGTACCTTATCTACTGAACCATCTCCTCAGAACTTTGATTTACCCTTTAATTTTAAGGCAAGTGTCCAAATGTTGCCCAGTGAACAGACCCAACCTCACAGTACTGCCTTCTTGTCTCCAATGCCTCGAGGTCACAGAGGTTCTACTGCAGCAGGATGGAGGAGCCAGGAGGCAGACAATGGGGGGACCAGTGATTCCGCACAGGTCATCCCACTGAGCGCATCCAGCTAAAGGGTACATTTCAGCAAAAATAGCTTTTACTGTATTACTGCATTCAAGAAACTAAGTCAAATCGGTAAGAACAGAGCTTTAAAAAGCTATCAACCAAATCAAGGCTGAGAACTAATGCAAAACATACCTGGGTGCATATTCCTTACACACCTGACTTCCCGGACAATGCCTGATAAAAAGGAAAACGATAGCAATCACATCACTTCAAGCACAGCCCCGCCCCTCCCCACGTTATTGCTTTGCAGTAGAGAAACCAGAAGCGCCCATCAGCGTGGCCCGTGTGGGTGCACAGTGTGCATTCACACCCAAACTCACACCAGCTCAGGCCGGTCATTTGTTCTGTCTTAGAAATGCCGTGTGCCCTTCCTCCTTAACTAGGCAGAGCAAACATCCCAGGCTGGCCCAGAGTGCTCACCTCTGTGCAAGCTAGTTTCACTCAGTGCCTTCAACCATTTCCCCACCAGCAGGGGCTGCCCTTGCTCTTAAATAGTGGCTGTCTGGAGAGGCGGGGGGGAAAAGAAGCGGAGTAGGGAAATGGGAGGTGGGGAGGAGGCGGAAATTTTTTTTCAATAAAAAATTATATTTAAGGGCTGGAGAGATGGCTCAGAGGTTAAGAGCATTGCCTGCTCTTCCAAAGGTCCTGAGTTCAATTCCCAGCAACCACATGGTGGCTCACAACCATCTGTAATGGGGTCTAGTGCCCTCTTCTGGCCAGCAGGCATACACACAGGCAGAATATTGTATACATAATAAATAAATAAATAAATAAATAAATAAATAAATAAATAAATATTTTAAAAATTATATTTAAAAAAAAGAAATAAAAGAGGAAGAGAAGGAGAAAGAAGAGTCGGAAGAGTGGGGGATAGAGGGAGAATGAGTGAGGAAGGACTGACTTGGGGCCTCTGACAGGCAAGCCCAGAACTAACAGGGACTTTGAGTCGGAAAAGCACTGCCTTATCAAGCTTTCCATGTGGTTTGCTTAAGTTAATGTTTCTCATAATGTTCCTCATAAATCAGAAGACAAGTACCAAGCAGGAAGGAGGAGCAGGCCCGCCCTACTTGAACGAGTCACTCCAGTTCCTAGAGATTTCAACCAGACTGCGATCAACCCCAGACCAGCCTGGAATATCGCGGAAGGCCAGGCAGATGCTGCCACCCTGGGGGTGAACATATTGATCTGCTCTCCCAGAATAAGGACTTTTCCCCCCTAGTGTTCTACCTTTGGAGAGCCCCATCCCTCATTTTAAAAATGAAAGTCGGAGGTCCTAAATCAGGCGTTAGACCTCACAGATTGGATTTTCCTGTTGGTATTTTTTTGTTTCCACTAAGGAGCTGGGTGCCACTGCGACCCCTCTGTGACTCTCCAAGAGTTTCCAGCGACCGTCCACTGCAGGGTGGGGTGGGAACGTTGTGGAGGGGTGGGGGTGTTTCACTAGTAAACTTAGAAATCTAAAAACCACTTGGAATTTTCTTCAAAATTTGGGCTTTTTTTTACCGGTAACTGGAAATCCCACTGTGCCTTTGGACTCAGAGACAGCAAGCGATCAAGTTCCCTGTTGCAGGACAGTCAAAAAGCCGGGCTTGCTTTGTTGACTCCCTGTTCTCCGTTCCTTCCCCGTGGCCTTGGTTCACAGGTGGGGGTGAGACTTATATAGGAGGCATATATAGGAATCGCCCGCCCCTGTTCTGAGCACACAGATGTATTTCTTCCCCCTGGAGATGAACTCGAGTCTCCTCTCTCCTCCCAGAGATGTCAGAGAATGTGACTGAAATTCCAACTCTCCAATAACATGGCTGCCTCCAGCCCCTCCTCGAAGCTCATAGAAGTCCTGCTAGGAATCACTGATTCATCCTAAATTTGAATCCCAGCAATCAGCTTCTGAATCTCACGGAAACCAGATTCCCCAGCATATGGATGAACATGCACACGGAGATCAAATGTGTTCTTCATGATACCACGGAGTGTTTTATCGAGCTAGCCACATAGAAGAAGTTAAATTGATGGTTACAAATATCACCTCAATAAGCAGCAGACATTTCCGTGACATTTACCAAAGGTGGAAGACTTTTTGAATTCTGTATCCCTGTCCTGCCAATTTCTTTTTAGGGAGTTTTCCTGTATGACATTGTCTATGTGTAAGGTCAGGCAGGCATCAGAACATTGTTCAGTATCAAACATTGAGAGAACTATTACATATCAACAAGAAATTATACTGTTTCCAATTGGACATGGTGGCGCACGCCTTTAAGCCCAGCACTCAGGAGGCAGAGGCAGGTGGATCTCCGTAAGTTTGAGGCCAGCCTGGTCTACACAGTGAGTTCTGTGATAACAAGGTTATTTAGAAAGACCCTCTCAAAGAAAGAAAAAAAAAAAGGAGGGATTGGAGGTTGGAAACTGGAGAGATGGTTCAGCTGTTAAAATCTAGGCTAACAACCAAAAACATCAAGAAATTATGGCATTTTCACAGGAAGGAATGACTATTTCTATGCTCTGTATCTTTTCTAAAAGATACAGGGTGGGCCAGCGAGCCAGGGTGGGCTCAGCAGCTGAAGGCGCTTGATGGAAAAACCTGGTGACCTGGGTTCCGTTCTGAAATCCGCTAAATGTGGAGCGAGAGAACTGTCTCCATCCACAAAATTGTTCTCGGACCTCCACACGGAAGCCATTCGTGAAAACAGTTCCTGGATCCCAGCGGGAGCTTCTGATTTGGGGGCTTAGGAGTGGTCAGCACTGTGCTGTCGGCTCGTCCTGCGGTAACCGAGACACTTGTATGACTGAGGACAGCGCTGCAGGTTCAGTTCTCTGGAGCCAAGGGAAATGGAGAACCGTGGTGAAGTAAAACCCCACTTGTTCCCATCCATGTAACTTCCTGATATTGTGAACAGAGAGTGGAGAGGAAAGGCGGGGGGGGGGGGGGGGGGGGGGGGGGGGGGGGGGGGGGGGGGGGGGAGGGGAGGCTTCATGTTGTCTCAGCGGCGCGTGATTCTCGGGAAGAAGCTGACAATTTCTTCAGCTTCAAACAGTCGTTTTATTCAGGGAATGGCTGCCCCAGTGAGCAGCAGGCAGCCAAGGTCCATCGAATCCACTAGAGGGCACTGTGCTCACGTTTCTGAGGAAAGACGAACCTCTAGACTTCGTTGCTGCTTAAATATTGTTGATCTCTCATTTTTTTAATTTTATTTTTAAATACATTGAAATTAAAAGACAGTCATTTCCCCTTTCCCTTCCCTTCCCTTCCCTTAAACTCTTCATCCATTCCCTCCCATGTACCCCTGCACTCTCAAACATGTGTGTACAAATACAGAGTATAACCTTACATAATATGTAGACTATATACATTACATACATGCACAAATATACAAATACCCCATGCGATGTGAGAACTTCCCGGCTAGCGTGCCTATTTCTATTGTCACCATTCACATCTTGTTTATGCGGTCATTTCTAGGAGAGCCTGTTTCACAATAGACTTCCTGGTACCCTGGATCCTGCTCCCCTTTTCTGAGAGGTTCTCTGGGCCATACATGCAGGAACAAACAGTAGACGTCTCCGTTGGGGATGCAGTCCCCATACATGCAGGAACGAACAGCAGATGTATCCGTTGGGGCTGCGCTCCCCACTGTCTGCCCAACTCCGCACTGTGTGCAGTGGCGGTCTTCTCCATTTGCTGTGAGAAGAGGCCTCTTTGGTGAGGGCTATTAGCTACATTTGCTGCAGATGTAAGGATAAGATATGGAATGGAGCAAAGAGTTGAGCTGGGCTAGCAAAGCTGTGGTAATGGATTATCTTCTAAGACGGAGGACCTCTTAGCCCCAGGTAGTTGGTTAGGCTTCTAACACCAGGCGTGATTTTCCTCCTGTTGAGTGGCCTTAAGGCCACGTTATGCTTGCCACCTAGGTCACCAGCTCCAAGGGGATCAAAGTCATCAATGTGGAATTTGAGGATTTAAAGCTGCTGGAAGAAAAGAGGCAGCCGAAGATACAGGTGCAAGTGCAAGACAGCACTTTCCAGACAGGACTCCATTTAGCTAGGAAATCAGGGCCACACTTGACAAGTTGGACCGCACTAGGGCCTCAGACCTTAGCACAACTGACTCCATGACAGAAATACCGCTCAGGCCATAAAACTCAGCATGTAAATAACATCACTCAGCAAAACTAAAACAAAGACCTACTCCATCAAAGTCCAGAGTTCTGGTAAAGTCTCTAAATGTACTAACCTTATTCTTTTACTTCTATAGTTCTGCTTCTGGCTAATTGTTCTTGTTTACTGAGGTATGTCAACCCAGAACACGGATTCTGGGCTTAAAAGTTCACCCAAGAGCTGACCAATCCTGCAAATCCCCAGGCCCAGAACCAGGTAGATATGTTGGCCTACCCCAACATCCACCGCATCTGCGATCTGCTGGAGCATGTGAAAGAACTGGTCCTGTAGACCCAAAACTGCAGGATCCCCTTGACGCAGGGCAACAGCAGGATGCCCGAGAGGAGTTCCAGGGAGGGCCTGGCATTGATAGTGTAACAGAAGCCAGAGACCACGAACCAGGTCAGCTACTCTTTGCAATGAACGCTTGCAATTGAAGATATGTGATAAGGGTTTGCTGCATGGCTCGCTGTGCCACGCTGCAGCTTCCACGGTGACACTGGCTTTTTCTCTCTCTCTCGCTTTTTCTCTTTTCTCTTAAGATTTATTTTGTTTTATTGGGGGGGTGTACAAGGGCAGAGGGTGGATACGAAGGGATAGGGAAATGAATGGGATGAAGATGCATGGTGTGAAAGACACAGAATAAATAAGAAGGAGGGAGAAAGAAAGTGTACCCCAAGAAAAGCTTGGTGCTGCACTGATCCCAAACATGTAGTATAGGTGCCAGTTGGCTAATACTTTCTATTGGCTTAAATCTGTGTCTGAGCAGTCTTCTGTGGTGGATGCCCCACACCAGGGACCTTGTGAAACTAAAGTCTATGGTCTAGCTGAGGGCACAGCTGATTAACTGGAGAAGAAACTCAGAGTAGGAGAGAACCTTTGTTAGCTATACATCTGAGGATTAATTTCCAGAATATCCAAAGAACTCAGGAAACAAATGATCCAATGTAAGGATGAGCTAGGAATCTAAACAGTGGGTTCTCATTAAAAAATATGGTAAGTGATCCCTCAAAAACGGCTCATCATTCTTAGCTAGCAGGGAGATTCAAATTGAAATAATTCTGAGGTTGCATCTCATGTTGGTCAGAATGGTTAAAAGCAACCAAAGAGCTGGCAAACAAGGCTGGGGAGGCTCTGGGGAAGAGAGAAGCAGCCATTTACAGCGAGTGGAACTGCAAACTGATGCAGCCACTCTGGAAATCAGCAGGGAGGGTGCTCAGAAGACTAAAAATAAATGGGCTGTAGGACCTGGCTATACCACTACTTAGCATATGTCCCCAGGAGTCGACATCCTATTTCACTGATCAGAACACACGTAAACTTCGGTTTTGAAATAAGTCACTGAAGAATAAATCTGAAGGTGTTCTACTCTTCAATGTCTTAGTACCAGACACTGGAATTTGGAAAACAAAGAAATACTTCCAGAAATGTCAATGAGATAATAATAAACTCGAAATGTCTACTTAGTTTTGATGTTTTTTTAAGTCACGAAAACGTGCAGAAGGCGCCTGGTGCCCGTTTTCCACCGCAAGTCCATTTCCCTGCCTTTCAAGGCAGTAGAATCACTTCTTACTGCTTAGCCAGACTCAGGCCTGTGAGTCCTGGACAGTCTGGACCACATCAGGGGTCTTGTTCCTTCACCCAAGCAAGTAGGAAGTTTAGTTCAAGCCTTTAATGCAATATTTACTGTTTATATTTTTCAGAGTTTGTTTCTAGGAAGATCAAATTACTGAGAACAGTAAAAAAGAGAACTGGCGGTCCACAGGCACAGTGTACATAATTAAGCAATCAGCCTCCAATACTTTTAGCTCCAAGAGACCCTTTATAAATCCAGGCAAACGGAACTCTAAGTGATTTAAAAGGTTATAAGGAAGGGTGCTTCCTTGAGTCTGAAAACAAAAGCATCAATATGCAGGTGATGAGCTTCTTAGTTTTTCTTGGCCCAAGGGGTGTTATCTTGCAGACCAGGGACAATTGTGAACCCACCGGTGAATGCAGGATTAAATTTCATCAGACTTGTTTGGCAGAGAAGAGCAAAAACGCGATGACCAGCATTCCTTGATTTCTCTTCCATTTCCAAGGCATCACTTGCTGCTCTTTAAACACACATTCATGCGTGATCTGAGAGAGTTAAGGCCCCGCTGGGTTTACTCATCACAGAAATCTGCCGGTCAATCTACAGGCTTACAGGCACGGCCTCCCCTAAGGCTAGGAATCACGCTTCCCACGATCCTCTTCTTTACGTAGTTCCGGGTCAGAAATGCTGGCAAGGATCGTGAAGGAAGGCAGATGTGATTAAAAAAAAATACTTAGAGAATTGCTGACACTCGTAAGGTAGTCTCCATCCCTCATGACAACAGTCAGAACCAACGTGATTGCTGTGAGGAAGATCATGGCCTTGGCTCTCAGATCCACGGGTTTCATTGGTGCATATGTCATCCTGGGCGGTTTTATCTCATTTTCTTCCTGCAGAAAGAAAGGAATTGACCTCCCCAGGCCTTTCAGATGGCCTGTTTTGAATATTAAAGAAGTTATGATTCGGATAGCATTGGCTCAGAGTACCCTGTAGAAAGCCACTATGACAGGTCTCTTATTCCAGAATGCCCCCGGGGTGTCTCTCCGCTCCACCTGGACTTAAAATTTTCATTTTAATAGCAGATCAAGATGCAGGGCCACATGAAAAAAGAGAGGGGACAAAAAATGAAGGGCCCTGCCAGGCAGGCCAGAGAGACCTATTGAAACTCGCATTCTGAAGGCTGTCCCACAGAGATGGAAAGCAAGGAACCTTGTAGTTTTGACCTCTTCTTTAAGTAAAATGGCAAAACACTAAAACTAGCCAACCAGACAGAAACTCCACCTTGTCTAAGAATATTTGCTGAGCCTGTTCTTAGGTTTGGGGCTCTAAGTTAGTGCCTGCTTGGTTCTCCGAGATCCGAAGCCAAAAATGTAGATAGTACTGGTGGTATTCCTATCCCCTATGTTCCCAGCTAACAGAAATCCTCTTTGGAGAAACCAGCAATAACCCAGGCTTCAAAGCATCCCCAGAACTGATGTCTCTCCCTGTAACAAGTCACAATCAGAGGAGACTCACTCTGAAAACAGCATGACAGTGGACTGAGCATCCATCTCCCTTGAACCCGGATGGTGCTCGGAAGCCGAGGATACCGAGAGCAAAGACATGCTATCAAGTAACAGGGCAGACCCGACTCTCAGGAGACTGAGCACAGGGACCTTGCAAACCTGGTTTGTCTATACTCTTTATACTCTTTAGAAGAGGAAAGAGCAAGGAGAAAGAGAGGGGGGGAGAGCAAGGGAAGGAGGGAGAGAGAGAGAGAGAGAGAGAGAGAGAGAGAGAGAGAGAGAGAGAGAGAAATAGCACAAGGCAAGAAGAGAGCAGGGTAACCTTCAAGAATGACCTTGAGTTTACACAGAGGAGGGACAGACATAGAAGGGAAGAAAGCTGGGTAGAGATACAGGACACCAAGGCTGCCGGGCCTGACTGCTGGCTAGACTTGGACCCACCTTCCCCTGCTCCTCTGCAATAGGACAGCGGGCTTTCCTCTCTAGACTGACCACACTATCATCAATGATAGGTCTAAGGCAGTGGTTCTCAACTGTCTTGATGCTGTGACCCTTTAACACAGTTCCTCATGTTGTGGATACCCCAACCATAAAATTATTCCATTGCTACTTCATAACTGTAATTTTGCTGCTGTTATGAATCGTAATATAAACAGCTGATATGCAGGACATATGATATGCAACCCTCATGAAAGGGTCCTTCGACCGCTAAGGGGTCACACCCCACAGGTTGAGAACGGCTGGCTGATCTAGAGACTGATCGCCAGGCTGGCCTGAAGATTCCCATGTGTACTTCTGAACAAACAATGGGAATGTTCCATGCTTTATTTCAGGTGAGTGTGATTGTGCCCAGCTTGATATCTTCCACAGAAGAGACTCAAAAGACAGTAACCACCAACTCCTTTGCTTCAAGTATGGGAGACCCAAGCATAGGCCCAGAGGAGGGAAGGGGGAGAAGGAGAAGCCCTTGTTCTCATGGGGGAGGGGTGATAAGAACGTCTGGGCTGGCCTGGAGCCACGGTAATCTCGAGCCGGCCTTCCCTCCATACTACTCTTCTAGGGTTCCTACTGTGCACCCTGCAGCACCCTCTGCTGCTAAAACCTGTGCTACCTCAGCACCCCTCACCTAGGCCCCGCATCAGCATGTGAGCCTTCCTGGAGATCCTAATTTGGATGTGCTGACGGTTCCCAGAACCTCATGGAGACCCGCGGAGAGGTGGAGTTCCTGTTCTGCTGCTGCGGTCTCCTCAGGCAATGCTCTGGACTTCAGAGGATAATAGAAACACCAGCAAATAAAATGCAAGAAGAAAATGTCGCTGTCAAAGCTGTCCTGGAACCGATGGAGATTGAGCGTGCTCTAGCCATACTGGATTTGCTGTTCCTGTGTTCTATGGGCCCTTAGGGTCTTGGGTTAGTTCTCCTACAAGCAATTCCCTATCTCTGCCTTCCTCATAGAGTTGCCTGAGAGTATTTGTTCCACAGGACCTAGGAAGCTAGTCCCTGAGCTGGAGGGGACCATGTCAGGTCTCTATGCTATAAATCACTATTTCAAGCAACCTGCAAATGCTCTGTCCTTATCTCCGCGGAAGCTTGCTGTCACAGCCACAGCCGATGCATGACGCAAAGAGCGTGTTACCTTTAACTCCAGTGTCTGCTTTTCTCCCGGGGAAATTCCAAACCACTCTTTCTTGCTGGATACTTTATTCTGTCTGTTTTATTATCTGCCACTTCGTGACACCCACAGCCGCTGGAAACCTGAACTGTCCAAACCGTGAGCAAGCTGTGCTTCCTTCTTCACCAGAGCCTGGCCAAGTGCCTGAGAGGTTGACACTGGTGGCCACAGGAGCTGCCTGAGGTGCCTCTCCCCGCCCCTGATCATCTGTTTCCCCTTCCTGTCTGTAGGGTTCTTACTTAGCTGACTGGTCAGAATAGAATCAGCTAATATCAGACACCATTCTGTCTCGGGCCCTAGTTTGAGCCTAAGTTCCAAAGGCACATGACGCTGGTGTGTAGAGATGGCCTGGGTGGAGCCACAATGGTGGGAACCAGAGCCTTGGACGTTGGCCTGCAGTTGACACACTGGAGGAAAAACCACGCTGTGTGAGAGAAGAGGGGGCTGGGTCTACCTTCACCACCAGAACAAGCAGCAAGACCTATATAGCCTGTGCCACCACCTATGACTTTCCGTATCTCAGCCACACTTTCCTGATGAGGAGGGCAGAAAGGCAGCCGAAGATGAGAGAGGAAAGCGAAGCAGCAGAGTGAAGCACTTCCGGGGCCCATCAGAGGATGCTTTTTAAAACTTAAAAACCCAGGACAAATATTTCTGCAACATTGTCTATCTGGTGTGGATTCATTTTTATTTTCAAATAATTTTCCTAGCAGTAACAGTCATTGCCTACGAACCATTGTAAGACCCTCATCCCTTATTCTCAAAGGAATGAGAAGGAATTTCCTAGCAGAATGTTTTAAAATCAAAAACCCCAGACTAGCTTCACGTGCTCAGTAATGATAGTGCCCCCCCACACACACACCTGGTGGAGTCTGAGAAAGGTGTCCTGACTCAGGGACAGTGTGACCTTGCTCTAAAAACAAAGCAAACTGACAAAACAGAATGGGAAAGAGGAAAAACCTTGTACCCCTGCCAAACCCCTCTGAGGGCCCTGAAGGGCTTGTGGATTTTGCCTTTGAAAAGCTAACCCCACAGAAGGACTCTAACTCCTCTCTGCTTCACTGTGAGGAGTGCTTGAGATGAGTTCTGAGCTAGCTCACATTATAATAACAATAAACCTTGCTGTTGCAGTCTGGACTTCTCTGGTCTCTGGTGGTCTCTCTGGGGGTGGTAATCTGGGCACAACGTTTGGTGCAGTGGCCGGGAAACCCCAGGGATCCCACCAGACCGAGAGTCCGGAGGTTCATTAGCATCTACCGGTAAGAGATGATGCTCTTTGTCTTTTGTCTGTGTTGTTGTTTTGTAACTTTTGTTCTGTACCAGTTGACCAATCTGGGATTCTGGAATTGGCAGATTCTCGCTGGGACAGACATGTCCGGAAAGTGAACCTGGAGGGAAAGAAAGACATTTCGTTCCCCAGTTTGGGCTAAAGACCCCACGGTCCTGAGCCATTTGGGCCACCTCAGAGGCAGCCATTTGGTTTTGAAAACCTCCTTCGGGAAGCGGTCAGGAGCCATCCTGTGCTTTCAACATTAGGAGTGTGTTTGTGTACCCCCCCTCCACTGCGGGGGGTAGGGGGTGGGGGGGGGAATGCCATCTTGTATTTTGTTCAGGAACTTGTCAAAGTCTTTTTGTGTTTTGTTGTGGTGATTGTTGCTTTGCTTTCTTTCTCTCTTCTATCTTCAGCTCTCCTCTTCAGCAATGGGGAATACCCTGTCAAGACCCCTAAACTTAACTCCTGCTCACTGGCAGGACGTCCAGGATACTGTCAGCAACAACGGTGTAACTGTCAAAAAGAAGAAATAGGTCACTTTTTGTTCAACTGAGTGGCCCACCTGCAATGTCGGCTGGCCAGCAACTATCCACTGGGTGGAGGAGATTGTCTTCCGCCTCTGCTGTGGCCACCCTGACCAAGTCCCCTATTTTGTTACTTGGAGGGGGCTAATAGATAGGGTAGGGGGACCCCTTCCTTGGATTGTACCGTTCTTACTTCCACAGCAGACCCAAGGCGCTCAAGTTTTGACTGCTAAGACTAGAGCTCCCTCAGCAAGTAAAGAAGAGAATAGGACAAAGCCTGCTGCTTATTCCAGGGGGAAACAATGGAGACAGAGCTTTTCCCACCTCCCTATTTCCCTCAGTCTCCCCGAGCCACATCCCACAGCTCCTGTAGAAGAAGCCTCAGCCCCCCCAACCATCAGGGGCAGAGGTAGGAGAGCCACCGGCACTGTCTACCCGTAGCAGGAAGGCAGGGACCCCACACCCAGACTCCACGGTGGCCCTTCCTCTCAGACCCGCTGGCCCTCCTGATGATTCAGGGAACCAACCCTTCCATTATTGGTCATTTGTTTCCAGTGACTTGTATAATTGGAAGGCTCAGAATGCACCATTTTCCAAGGACCCCCAGGACTTGATTAGCCTGTTGGAAACTGTTCCTTTTACCCATGCCCCTACATAAGACGATCGCCAGCAGCTGTTGGGGGTCCTCTTTACGACTGAGGAGAGAAGCAGAATCCTAGAAAACACCTGGAAGCTGCTCCCAGGACCTACAGACGCCCCTCTAGTGGACCCTCTGCTAGCCCTAACAGCCTTCCCAGCAACCCATTCTAACTGGAACTTCAACACAGCAGAAGGTAAGGAGAGTCTCCGTGTCTTCCGCCAGGCTCTATCGGGCAGGTCTGAAGGCTACCGCACGCATGCCTTGGCATATGGCAAAAATTTATAATGTAAAGCAGGGCAAAATATGCTCATTGGTAAACTCCTATAAAACACAAGGAAAAAGAGGTGTCCAAGAGAGAGGAACTCACCCAGGTACATACTGGGAAGTGGACTTTACAGAAGTCAAACCAGGTAAATATGGATTGAAGCTTATCCTACCAAACACAAGACTGCCTATGTGGTGGCTAAGAAATTCCTTAAAGAGATCACTCGGGAGGCAGAGGCAAGCGGATCTCTGTGAGTTCGAGACCAGCCTGGTCTACAGAGCAAGTTCCAGGACAGGCTCCAAAGCCACAGAGAAACCCTGTCTCGAAAAACCAAAAAAAAAAAAAAAGAGATCCTTACCAGGTTTGGCTTCCCACACATGATAGGGTCAGACAATGGCCCTGCCTTCATCTCACAGGTAAGCCAGGGGGTAGCCAGTGCAGTGGGGGCTAAATGGAAATTACATTGTGCTTACCACCCTCAGAGTTCAGGACAGGTTGAGAGAATAAACAGGATCCTAAGAGAGACCCTTACAAAATTAGCCTTGGAGACTGGCGGTGATTGGGGGGGGGGGCTCTCCTCCCCTATGCCTTGTTCAGGGTGAGGAACTCCCCATACCAGATGGGACTGACCCCTTTTGAGATAATGTATGGTCTGCCCCCACCCTTTGTGCCTAGCTTGCCGGACGAGTTGATTCTGCCTCCAGAAGAAGTGGATCTCCTAGAGAGCCTAAAAGCGCTGTCCCAAATACAGGCGGATATCTGACCTCAGTTGCGGGTCCTATATTTATCCTCCTCTTCCTCTGATCCCTACAGTTTCAAGCCTGGTGACCGGGTCCTGATCCGTAGACACCAACGCAAGTCCCTGGAGCCACTGTGGAAAGGACCCGATGCTGTCATCCTAACCACTCCAACTGCTCTCAAGGTGGACGGTATCTCCGCCTGGATTCACCACTCCCACGCCAGACCTGTGGCTCCTACAGCTGAGAAGCCTCCGGTCGGGACCTGGGAAATTTCCAAGCACCCCACCGATTCCTTGAAGCTAAAGCTGCATCAGAAACCTGAAAATGAAATCCACCCTGTTGATAGGGTACCTGCTACTTCATCTGTACTCAGGGAATACTGATAATCCCCATGCACCTTGGAACTTAACCTGGACCCTGACTAACTTTGAGACTGGGCAAACCTTAAGGTTGGCCACTGAAGTTCATCCCCTAGATACATGGTACCCTCAGCTAACTTTCGACCTATGTGTTTTAGCAAAGGACTCTTGGGGAAACACTAAGCGAACTCTCCAAGACTCTTATCCTGCTTGCAGACATTGTGACTGGTATATTTGTCCGGGGGGTAAGCGAACTCGCCAGTGTGGGGGGGCTAAAGTATTTTATTGTGCTGTCTGGGGGTGTGAAACCAGCGCCTCCCAATGGGGGACTAGCAAAGGAGACTTAGTCTCTTTTACTCGTACCACACCAGGAGAGTCTAAAATCAGTATCACCTTTACTGAGGAGGGAAAAAGGGCTAACTGGTTAACAGGCAAGATTTGGGGATTACGACTGTATGTTCCAGGAGGAGAAGATGTAGGGATCTTGTTCTCCCTGCAGGTTGTTGCAACACCTCCCATGACTGTGGCATTAGGCCCCAATAAGGTAATTAACTCCTGCTCAGGTAAGAAAAATCCCTCCTCTCTTCCCAAGCCAAACTATTAGTACCACCGCCCCGGCAATTGCCTTCAGCACCTCAGTTTTACCAACACTAGAGATACGCTGGGATGATGGCCCTATACCTATTAGATCCTCTGAACTTGCAACCCCTGTTTACAGTCCTACAGCAGTCATTCTTACATCTAAATAGTTCCAAGCCAGAACTAACTGTCTCCTGCTGGCTCTGCTACAGCACAAGGCCGCCCTGTTATGAAGGAATAGCTGTGTTGGCCCCAACCAACAATTCTAATTGGCAGGAACAAAAGGGGGCCTCAGGTTCTTGCCCATAGCAGTCAAATACCTCCTTGACCCTCAAACAAATCTCAGGTCAGGGACTATGTATAGGGACACTACCTGACTGCTACTCTTACCCCTCTGCAATCACACGATGCTCCTCACAAACCAATCAGGATATTTGGTCCCAGCGAATGATACCTGGTGGGCATGTTCCTCTGGCCTAACACCCTGCGCCCACGTGACTGTGCTGAATCGAACCAAGGGGTTTTGTGTCCTCATACGTCCTGGATTCCCAGGGTAACCTACCATGCCGCTGAGGAATTGTTAAGCCTTAGTGAGGCTACCCAGTAGGCTCTTAGACAAAAGAGAGAGCGGGTCACAGCCCTTACTCTTGCCATCCTGATGGGAACCAGCTTCGCAGGATCGGGGACAGGGGCAGCCTCCCTTGTCACCCAACAGCATTATTATGCGGATATCCACATATCAATAGATGAAGACATTGAAAGAATAGAAACCTTCATCGCCCACCTACAGGAGTCTCTGTCTTCACTGGCAGAAGTGGTGTTACAGAACAGAGGGGGCCTCGATTTACTATTCCTAAAAGAAAAGGGGCGATGTGCAGCTTCGGGAGATGAATGCCGCTTCTATAAGACCACTCAGGAATTGTAAAAGATTCCATGGCAATAGTCCAAAAGGCCTAGCAAAAAGGAAAAGAGAACATGAAGACAACCAGAGTTGTTTTGAGGCCTGGTGTTCCAGATCCTCTTGGTTCACCACCCTCATCTCGTCCCTAATAGGGCCTCTGTTACTCTTCCTCCCAATACTCACTTTGGGACTCAACATTATTAATAGAATACTCCAATATATGAAACAAAGGCTGGGAAGTATACGACTTATGGTGCAACAGGGGTATACTACACTCAGGCCTTATACAACTGAAATGTATGGTAATATCAGTAGGGCCAATGAAGTACACGAGCTATAGCAAGCAGGCTCATGATTGAGCCCTCTTAGGACCAAGAGAAGAGGGGAATGTAAGACCCTCACCCCTTATTCTCAAAGGAACGAGAAGGAATTTCCTAGCAGAATGTTTTAAAATCAAAAACCCCAGACTAGCTTCACGTTCCCAGAAAGGATAGTGCTCCCCCCCACCACCACCACCACCTGGTGGAGACTGATAAAGATGTCCTGACTCAGGGACATTGTGACCTTGCTCTAAAGACAAAGCAAACTAACAAAACAGGGTGGGAAAGAGCAAAAACCTTGTACCCATGCCAAACCCCTCTGAGGGCCCTGAAGGGCTTGTGGTTTTTGCCTTTGAAAAGCTAACCCCACAGAGGGACTCTAACTCCTCCCTGCCTCGCTGTGAGGAGTGCTTGAGATGAGTTCTGAGCTAGCTCACATTAAAATAACAATAAACCTTGCTATTGCATTCTGGACTTCTCTGGTTTCTGTGGTCTCTCTGGGGGTCATAATCTGGGCACAGCACCACCCCAGGTGTAGGAGGTGTGGGCAGAAATTATACAGGTAGAGGGCTGCTTTTTGTTTTTTTGTTGTTGTTGTTTTGTTTTGTTTTAATTTAACAACATTAGGGGAAAAATCTGCAGCTGAGTGTATCCTTATTTGGGGTTTCTGTGTCTCCTGTGGAATCTCAAAGTAGAGAATCCCATTGGCTTCTCCTGGACACACCCTAAGATCACCTGGAGAGTTCTTAGACACCAACAAGGCCACATTCGGGGGAGAAAGGCCTGAACTGGTATGTCTTAGGTGCTCTTCACGTGAACTGAAATGTGATTAGAACTTCTCCACTAGCCCCCATCTCTCCAGGCACAGTTGGTCGGTTAGGAAGACAATTAGAGAAGCCGGACATGTTTCAACACGAGCGTATGCTGGCTGGACTTGTGTCAGCTTGACACACAAACTAGAGTCATCCAAAAGGAGGGAACCTCAATTGGGAAAATGCCTCCATAAGATCCGGCTGGAGGACATTCGCCTTCATTATTAGTTAATGAGAGAGGACCCAGCCCATGGTGGGTGGCGCCATCCCTGGGCTGCTGGTCCTGGGTTTTATAAGAAAGCAGGCTGAGCAAGTCATGGTGAGCACGCCAGTAAGCAGCAGGCCTCCATGGTCTCTGCATCAACTCCTGCATCCAGGATTTTGACCTGTTTGAGTTCCTGTCCTGACTTCCTTCAGGGATGAACAGTGATGTGGAAGTGTAAGTCAAATAAACCCTTTCCTCCCCAAGTTGCTTTTTGGTCATGGTGTTTCATTGCAGCACTAGAAACCCTGCCTAGGCCAGTGCTGTGAGGAAACATGCCCTCTGGTCAGTCCTTAGCCCCATCATTCTCAGGTGGGCCGCCCGGGGCACCTAGGCCCATCCACAAGTGTGTCCTCACACAGGGCACGATGTGTGCTCAGCCACCTAGCGCAGGCCACTGAAGTCAGCTATCGGCTTTCCTCTTGTGTGTATTTGTATTTTCCATTATAGATACCATTAGACCAGTGGTTCTCAGTCTGTGTGTCATGACCCCTTTGGGGTCAAACAGCCCCTTCATATCAGATATCCTGTATATCAGATATTTACGTGACAATTCATCACAGTAGCAAAATTGCAGTTATGAAGTAGCAATGAAAATAATTTTATGGCTGGGGTCAGCACAGCGTGAGGAACTGTAGTAAAGGGTCGCAGCACTAGGAAGACTGAGAACCACTGCCCTACACTGAAAATACCTTTAGGAAGGGGAGGGGGCCTTTCTCCCTCCTCTTTCTTCTTCACGCTGTGTTTGTGATTTGGTTCTTAGGCCCCAGATGCCTCAGATTGGGTCCACGAGGCAATATCCCTCCTTGTTCCACCCACAATTGTGAGTCACAGTCTCCCCTTGGCTCTCATACTGAATATGAACATTATAGTTTTGATTAGCCTCCTTGTCTGTGCTCCGACCCGCTTGCTACTTCTTACATCTGAGTGTTAAGTGCAGTCTTTGTGGAAGGTAGAAAGAAACATTTTAAGAAGCAAAAGCTGTCAGAGGCACAAAACTTAGCTTCCAATGGAGAACTCTATCCTTCACCCACCACTCTGCTCCTAACGTCAGCGAGTAACTCACACAGAGGGTAAAAGATTTCTAAGTTCAAAGTTTTCGAGCAGCAATAAAAATGCCCCCGGGGCATAGGGATGGTCCCAGCACAGTCCCTAGGAGCATCCATGAGTTAGTTGTGCCTACCTGTCTTTCTGAGGCCTGGGAGAGATGCGACTTTTTCTCCCCTCCCCTCCTCTCTGCTCCCCTCCGCTCCCTTCCTCCCTCCCTCCCTTCCTTTTTTTCATCTCTTTCCTTTGGCCAGAACCTACCTACATACAACCTGCTTTTCCTGATATTTGGGCGTCCTTTCTTTTTCCCTAAAGCTTCCCTCCCCACCGTGGCTGCCTGTCCATCATGCCTCGGACCTCCATACCTTCTTACATGGCATGGTCATTTTTCCCTCTTCTCCTGGCAGCTACTGAGTTTTAAACAGTTTGCCTGTCCTGAGCATTTTCTTTTAAACTCAAATAAAAATGTCTTTGAATTTTCATTTGAGTCCATTCTTAAGTTTTTTTTATTAATAAGACTAAGATCCCCGAAAGGGAACCCTGATTCCCCTGAATCAAAAGTTCTGTTCAGAATTTAGCCTGCCTCTCTTTTTTTTGTTTTTATTTTTATTTATTTATTGAAGATTTCTGTCTCTTCCCCACCACCGCCTCCCCTTTCCCTCCCCCTCCCCCAATCAAGTCTCCCTCCCTCGTCAGCCCAAAGAGCAATCAGGGTTCCCTGCCCTGTGGGAAGTCCAAGGACCACCCACCTCCACCAGGTCTAGTAAGGTGAGCATCCAAACTGCCTAGGCTCCCACAAAGCCAATACGTGCAGTAGGATCAAAAACCCATTGCCATTGTTCTTGAGTTCTCAGTAGTCCTCATTGTCCGCTATGTT